GATGTTTTGCCACAGGTTTCTGAATACGGTGAAGTTTCTTATGTCAGCACCATGTCCATTGATATCCTCCTGCAGAGATGGAGCTGTTTGTCCCAGGTAAATGGCAGAAGGCCTTGTTGACAGATGACTTTCTGCCTCTATGGAGCCCATATAAATCCAGCCTCCTTTTAACCCCATGGCTACCAGCTCATTTCAGGGCAGTGAGTTCCACAGGTCAGCTACTCAGTATGTGAAACAGTATTTTGTTTTGTCTACCTTGGCTTTACTGCCAATCTGTTTCATAGGGTGCCCACAAGTTCCATTGCTATGAAAGCTTTCTCTCTCTGCTTTCTTTATACCATGCACAGTTCTGTAGTTCTGTCATACGACTTCTCGGTCGCATTTTTTCAGAAGCTTCAGATACCTTCGCCATGTTCTTCATAGAGCCAGTGCTCTAAATCCCATGATTATTTTGGTTGCTCTTTTCTGCACCCTTTTACACCTCTTCAACCTCCACTTTGAGAGGTGGTGATGAGAATTGTACCTAATATTCCAAATGTGGTCACGCCAGGGCTTGTGTGTGGGCATTGCTAAGGGCAGTTTTATTCTCAGTCCCTTTCCTGACGATCCCCAGCATGGAATTTGTCTTTAAAAAATCATCACAGCACACAGAGTCCGCACTTCCAGTCTCAAGGTCATTCTCTTAGCCTGGTTGTTGTGAGGATAAACTGGAGCCAGGCAGACCTCTACAGGTTGCCTGAGGAAGAGGGGCAGGAGAACACTGGGAAGACGCTGCTTCATGGGCTGTTAAATTAAAGCACTGGAAAAAGTGCAGAAAAGGGCAGCTAGAATGATCGAAGGGTTGGACCACTTTCCCTGTGAAGAGAAGTTAAAGCGCTTGGGGCTCTGTAGCTTGGAGAGACGACGACTGAGGGGTGACATGATCGAGGTTTATAAGGTTATGTGTGGGATAGAGCAGGTAGAGAAAGAAGTCCTTTTCTCCCTTTCTCACCATACGAGAACTCGTGGGCACTCAATGGAATTGCTGAGCAGTCGGGTTAGAACAGATAAAAGATAATTTACTTCAATAAAAAACTTTAAATATAAAAAAGAACAGATAAAAGGAAGTCCTTCTTCACCCAAAGAGGGATTAACACATGGAATTCACTGCCACAGGAGGTGGTGGTGGCTACAAGCATGGACAGCTTCAAGAGGGAATTGGATAAACCTATGGAGCAGAGGTCCATCAGTGGCTATTCGCCACAAGGTATAGATAGGAGCTCTCGGTCTGGGGCAAGTGATGCTCTGTCTTCTGGGTGCCTGGGGGGGGGGCACTGCTGGACCTCCTGATGGCGCCTGGTATTTTTGGCCACTGTGTGACACAGAGTGTTGGACTTGATGAGCCATTGGCCAGATCCAACATTTGGCTTCTCTTATGTTCTTATGTCCCTTTGCAGTGACTTTGGTTAACTTTCCTTGCAGCTTCTCTATCCTGAGTGGGACTCCGGCCGGAGAGAGCAGCAGAGCATTCCTCCAGGAAGCCCCGCCTTCCCCTACACCAGGGCTACTCCGGGCAGGCATCAGATGGTGGCAGCCTGTGAGCCTGAGGAAGACTTTGGAGGATTCCACCTTCAGTCAGAGGAATGATCCTGCAACGCCGCCAGTTACCAGGGCAGAAAAGCTCTTCCCAAAGTGCTAGCGGTCTGTGTGGGAGGGAACCTGTCGCAGACATCCCTGTTGGGCTGCCGTTGATCTGTGCATACAGAAGTAACCAAAGGCACCCGGCAGGAACGGGGGAACTGAGATGTGCGGGGAAGGCTCTGTCACCAAAGAAGCATGGGCCTGTGTAAACCCTCCTGTTTGCCGGCCACCCTGTGCACAGTTTTGCTAGGAAACCGGGTTGGGA